AATATTGATAAACATATCGAAGGTAGCAGTTACCTGTCCCGACCTCGGTGTCAAAGCGTCAGAATGACAGTGATGGGCAGATTAATCCGGAACCAATTGTCCGAGGAGCTGTTTAATTTGTGTAGGTTTATAGTCGCTTGCGTGAGGCAACACGAATCCTTTAGCGAATGTTTACTGACGCTACAGAACACTAACTCTGCGGAAACACAACCTCGTCCACGTTGCTAAAAGAAAGCACAGACTTCCGGAGAAGCTGTCTTTGTACCGCGGTGGGATATCACGTAGTGTCCCCGCGGTTTGACCTTAACAAAAATACCTAGTTCCCGGAACGTTTATTTAAAACCGTTTGTTGACTCTAGAATAAAAGTATTATAACCTGAAACTTTATCAAGAGAACGGGATTTTACTGAAAAGTGTCACTTTTCACACACTGTGCCCTCTCTTAAAAAAAACACATACAAACAACAAAACCTAGTGGCCTTGATGGTCACCTGAGATAAGCAATTTTGAATATAAAGGTTAAAGCATAGTTATCAAACAGTCATGAAACAGAAATTTGGACACTGAATAAAGTAATCCGGTGTCAAAACATGTATACCATCAAAACTTTCATCCTATACTAATAATTTCCAGTGGAAAATAACTAACGTTATGTACAATAGTGCAATTTTTCAATGAAAATTACAGTAAAGTACAGTAAAAACTTCCTCCACAAGAAGAAATGTGAGGCACATATTGGTAATTAAAGTACCTTCCATGCTTCCATTCATACAGAGTATTTGATTCTACCATACTTGGGTGTTGAGAAGACACCCCGGGTACTCCGGTTTCCTCTCAAAATAAGACCCCTCGCGCGCTTACATCAGGACCAACAAGAGTGACTAGTATCAGTTGAAATAACTTGTTTATATATATATATATACATATATATGTATTTGAAATTTAAGTCAATTTGAACCCTTTCAATCCCTTCCATCAGCCCGGGGGGTCAGTCAGGATCAGGATAGGCATACTATCAAGCTGTTATCGTTCGCTCATAATTATAACCAAGTTTGAAATACACGCATTTCCAATGGAAATTAAACAAATTATGCTCAAAAATCTATTTTTCCTATATAGACAGTAGTAAACTTTACCCCCGCCCCTAGGGGAAATGTGATACCTTGGGGCCACGAAACACAAAGTTTTGGTATAGCACTATTAGATGCTTCCATCCACGAAGAGTATTTGATTGTACCATATCTGGGTGTTGAGAAGAAGAGTTTTGAAAATTAAGTCAATTTGACCCCTTTTGGCCACGCCCCTCAGGCCCCTGTGGGGTTGGGACTGTGTAATTCACAATTCTGGTTCATCTTAGGCCGGGGAAGATTTCTGAAAAATTGAAATCTGATCAACAGGTTTTTTAGAAGAAGTCTAAAATGTTCAATTCTTTACGGACGCACGACGCCGGATGAAGGTGATCGCAAAAATAACCATGATGCTTTGTCTCAGATGACCTATAAACGTGTGTTGAACGCGCATGTAACATCTTCGGCCCTTAAGAATCGGAACAGCTTCGTGATATTCATTTCTTGGCTTCATGTACTCTCCTGTTGATTGCTGATTATTTACATCTACTGGTGGTTCACCCCGAACACATTGTATACAAACGCGATTTTTTGGCTAATTAGAGATTGTTCAGCAGCACACGTCCTAGTATAGTTTATAGTCCTTCTACCATTTGTGTGTGTAATAGACTAGTTTCATTTCTTTGGCTTCGGTTCTCCATTTTCACAAATTTTCCACTAAAATGGTGATAAAACAGTTGAGATGAAAAGCAAAACTTTAAAACAAGTGAGATACAGAGTGAAGCTTTAGAACAAGTGAGATACAGAGTGAAGCTTTAGAACAAGTGAGGTACAGAGTGAAGCTTTAGAACAAGTGAGATATGAAGTGAACCTTTAGAACAAGTGAGATATGAAGTGAAGCTTTAGAACAAGTGAGGTACAGAGTGAAGCTTTAGAACAAGTGAGATATGAAGTGAAGCTTTAGACCAAGTGAGATACAGAGTGAAGCTTTAGAACAAGTGAGATACAGAGTGAAGCTTTAGAACAAGTGAGGTACAGAGTGAAGCTTTAGAACAAGTGAGGTACAGAGTGAAGCTTTAGAACAAGTGAGGTACAGAGTGAAGCTTTAGAACAAGTGAGGTACAGAGTGAAGCTTTAGAACAAGTGAGGTACAGAGTGAAGCTTTAGAACAGGTGAGGTAGAGAGTGAAGCTTTAGAACAGGTGAGGTACAGAGTGAAGCTTTAGACCAAGTGAGTTACAGAGTGAAGCTTTAGAACAAGTGAGATATGAAGTGAAGCTTTAGACCAAGTGAGATACAGAGTGAAGCTTTAGAACAAGTGAGATACAGAGTGAAGCTTTAGAACAAGTGAGATATGAAGTGAAGCTTTAGAACAAGTGAGGTACAGAGTGAAGCTTTAGAACAAGTGAGATATGAAGTGAAGCTTTAGACCAAGTGAGATACAGAGTGAAGCTTTAGAACAAGTGAGGTACAGAGTGAAGCTTTAGAACAAGTGAGATACAGAGTGAAGCTTTAGAACAAGTGAGGTACAGAGTGAAGCTTTAGAACAAGTGAGATATGAAGTGAACCTTTAGAACAAGTGAGATACTGAGTGAAGCTTTAGACCAAGTGAGTTACAGAGTGAAGCTTTAGAACAAGTGAGGTACAGAGTGAAGCTTTAGAACAAGTGAGGTACAGAGTGAAGCTTTAGAACAAGTGAGATACAGAGTGAAGCTTTAGAACAAGTGAGTTACAGAGTGAAGCTTTAGAACAAGTGTGATATGAAGTGAAGCTTTAGACCAAGTGAGATACTGAGTGAAGCTTTAGACCAAGTGAGTTACAGAGTGAAGCTTTAGAACAAGTGAGGTACAGAGTGAAGCTTTAGAACTAGTGAGGTACAGAGTGAAGCTTTAGAACAAGTGAGGTACAGAGTGAAGCTTTAGAACTAGTGAGGTACAGAGTGAAGCTTTAGAACTAGTGTGATATGAAGTGAAGCTTTAGACCAAGTGAGATACTGAGTGAAGCTTTAGACCAAGTGAGTTACAGAGTGAAGCTTTAGAACAAGTGAGGTACAGAGTGAAGCTTTAGAACAAGTGAGGTACAGAGTGAAGCTTTAGAACTAGTGAGGTACAGAGTGAAGCTTTAGAACAAGTGAGGTACAGAGTGAAGCTTTAGAACTAGTGAGGTACAGAGTGAAGCTTTAGAACAAGTGAGGTACAGAGTGAAGCTTTAGAACAAGTGAGATACAGAGTGAAGCTTTATAACTTAGATATTAAATTGAGAAAAAAGAAAAAACACAATACTGATACAGAAAACCGTCCTGGTAGTGGTTACATAGAAAACAAAAGCATATATTGAATAAAAACTCATTGTCATGATCACAAAATATACTAACTGATGACGTGTTAAAGAGGCATGGTTGTATATTGAATGAAAACATATGTAACAAGAGTACAAGCTTGTCCCTAGCCAAGAAAATATTCAGAATTTATTTTATCGAGAAGTAGTAGTTAAAGCAGTGTTTAACCATGTTTTAACACATATAGTATGAAAGAGATTGGTAGAAAACTGAAAGAAATATCTGGAAAAGACCAAAGGGAAAATAACTCTTTCAAAATAGTAAAATGCTATTAAAGAAGACAAATTTTCATGTAATGATTATATAGCCTTTCAAAGAAATTGGTGAAAAAATTAGGAAGGTGATCTCCATACAAAATTAAAATCATTACAAAAACAATAGGCAAGAAATACTTGTTGAATCAAACCGCTGCTTAGTAAAAACAGAACTTCATGTCAAAGTAATTCGGTCGACTAAATATTCACTTGAAATAGAGCAGGAGAGGAAAACAATAAGGGGGAGTAACTCTTTAAAATACCGGCGAATCAAACTGGTTTTCAAGTAAAGACAACTTTATGCCATGGTGATTAAGCCTATCAAGTTTGAACAAAAACTGATGTGCGTATAAAAATGTAAAGAGTGATTGAATTCGTGATTTTAAATCCAACCGGGAGAGCAAGGAATGTATATCAAAATTTTCACAAAAGCAACACAATTACACAGCGGATTTATTTATGACATTTTATTTGTTCTTAGATGAAAATGATAACAGTTAACAGAAAAATGAGATAAATGATACAAAGTATAAAATATATAAATGAATGATTATATTTCGCATGATTTGTGTATTTAATACAACAGGGGAATGTTTTCTGGAGTACAAAAGTTATTCACTTACACATTACTTCGTTTGGTGTTTATAAAGTGACAAGTGCTATATACGGCAGAGTATTAATGTTTAAATTATTATCAGCTGCAAAATGACTAAATATAGATATGTATATATAAACAATAAACATTTGGTACCACATGGATAAGCTGAATGTGACAAATGTTACATTGCTAAACTTGTTTTAATTGCTATTGTTGATCTTAATGGGAACACGGGAGAGTTCTGTGAGGAAACCGAGTACCCGAGGATAACCAATGTGACCCAATACCTTGTTATATTTAATTTTCGATATTGAGTTCGACTTTGTCTCGTGAAATCTAGACGAGTCATGCTGTCTATATACTCGATATTGAGTTCAGCTTTGTCACGTGATCTCCAGACGAGTCATTCCGTCTATATACTTGATATTGAGTTCAGCTTTGTCACGTGATCTCTAGACGAGTCATGACGTCTATATACTCGATATTGAGTTCCGCTTTGTCACGTGATCTCCAGACGAGTCATTCCGTCTATATACTTGATATTGAGTTCAGCTTTGTCACGTGATCTCTAGACGAGTCATGACGTCTATATACTCGATATTGAGTTCGTCTGTGACAAATGTCTAACAACCGAACCCTGCCAATAATATAATTGATATCGAGTTCGGCTCTGTCAGATATTTATCAGACCATGACATGTTGTCTTTATAATCGATAACGAGTTTGACTCCGATGTCCATCGAACCATGTTGTACCATCTGTTTAATCGATAGAGCGTCCAGTTACACCAGATGTTCATCAGACCATGCCGTGCTGTTTATATAATCGCTATATTTTCATCAGCAGAAATAATCATCATATTTTACTTCGGTCTGTTGCTACTCATTGGACGTCCACACCGCTGAAACAAAGGATATGATTTAATTTATCTATTATTATCATATCTAGCTGCAGGGATGGTTAGATATTTACTATTGTCCCGAATTAAGAATAAGATTATTGGTTAATAATTTCATAACCATATTTTTAGAGTTGTTCACTAAAACTAAAAAACAATTCATATCTTACCTTGCATCAAATCCTGGGTTGATATGCGAAACCACCTGAAACAGATGAAGCAATAGAATTCTAACTGCCATACTCAAAAATACTATGTTAGGTTACAAATGGCCAAGGTCAGTTTAAAATACCTAAGACATCAAGAACAGTCATATCGATTAATGAACTGTCACTTTTATAAGTGATAGAAAGTATGTAACCGGACACCTTTTTAAGTACATGGAACTTTAATGATCTGAAGAAAGTTTTCTCCGTTACTATTATTCTAAATTGTATACAAGTGTGCATTTAAAAGAAGATCACGTTGGACTGGTCAATATATTACAATAAGCTCTGATAAATTACCGATGGTTGCACATCAGATATGTCGTGATAAGTACTGTCTGCTGGAGGACTAAACTGTGCATTTCCATCCCGAAATGACATGTAGTGGCGATTTGCACCATTCGTTTCACTAGTCTCCATAGAACTAGGACTAACAGTGTAGTCGTGGTCCTGCCGTTGACTTGCTCGACTTAACTGATCATAGTCAAATTCCTTTGTTTTCACTTTTGGGACATTCATGGTACGGTACCTATAAACACTACTTAAGTGTCAACGTAATGATTATGTTATCAATTACTCGTATTTTTAACAGAATGACATGATGTAACCTTAATCATCCTCTTCATTGATTCTATTTCTCATTAGTATCATGTAATTGCTCAAAGCAGTCAAAATGTTAAGTTTCATTTAATACAAGTCTCCTGGTGTTTCAAGAGGATGTTAAACGATTTAGAAGTGGATAGGAATACATTGATAATAAAATGTTCTACCTCGGTATGCATATCATTCAGACCTTAAAACTTTTTTTCATCTTTTTAGCTGAACTCTTTTATTGATGAGGATTTGGTGTAAATTTCCATTCCATACTCCAATCGAATCGACTAAATATCAATAACAAAAATCATGAAATGTTGCCTTCAACATTAAAATCTTACAAAACTGCCAATAACACAAATCATGAAATGTTGCTTTCAACATCAAAATCTTACAAAACTGCCAATAACACAAATCATGAAATGTTGCCTTCAACATCAAAAACTTACAAAATTGCCAATAACATAACTCAGTAAAAACTTACTTGTAGAATAAGAAGAAGCACAGACCAATGGCTATACACAATGCCGCTACAAGTCCTATCATGACAGCGAAGAACAGGTCTTTTTCAGCAACGATTTCTGTCCTCATGTCTGCGGTAAAGCAGACTTGGTACTGTCCAGATAAGGTAATTATCACAATGCTTGTACTGAAACACAGATTATGTCTTTCATTACACAGAACTCGAAAAGTTTGCATTTTCTGAACGGTGTTGAAAATGAAATTAAGATGAAGAATCCATTCAAGTATTTTCATGATCTCAAACTACCTATGCTTAAGTCCTGTAAATGCATAGAAATTTTTATTCTTTCATTTTATTGTCTTTTGTATCGTTCTTCGAATAGTTTCAGTGATACACTGGATGAAGTTAGTGATCACGTTATTGAGGTACACTAACCTGTGCTTAGGTTTATCTCCCCTGTCAGTCGCCCGCACTGTTAATGTCAGGTTTGAGACATCAAATTTCTCATCTATCAGATATGCGAGATTTATATTCCCGTTGGTAGAATCTATTGTCATTACATCCTGAAAGTTTGAAACATAATTAGGATAATTGGGAATTTTCTATGTAACTTTGTTGTATTCCCTATAAGACACATGGTTTTCTGTATAGCTACTCTCTCTATACACGAAGATACTATTGTGATATAATCATCAAATATGGCAAAGCGAAAGATATATTGTATAACGGAAGATTTTCGACGTAGTAGTTTAACTTTCGTTATTTTCCTCATTAGTCGAATATCGAATGCGGCTAAAGTTTCAAGTTAAAGATGAAACACGTGTGTTTGATACTTTAATGGCAAGTCAACATGAGCGAAGAAAATATTTTGACGGGAGGGCGAAAATAGCCTTATATAGTAAAAACAACTATTTTAGTTTACAACTATAAACTACTGCCCAATTATAGATTCATGTCAAATATTGACGAAGAACCTTGTGACTTGCACTATTTTCAAACACCCAAATAAATATCATTTCAATATAGGACTCCGTCCTAAAATAGTAGTCTCACTCCTATAAAAAATCACACAAACTAGATCGCTTATTGGTCAGTAGTGACGTTGACTTACAACCCAGGCCAGAGAAGTCTCTGTTAAAACTGAATTCGATCACAAAGTCACTGGACCATATATAAACTTGGTGGTTCAATACCCACGTGATACAAAAACGTTGGAAACAACAGCAAGCCAACTGAAGTCACAGAATACACCGGGTTGGCAGAATGTATTTTATGTTCGGTTGATGATTCCCAAATGGTCGTTCTTTTAATTGAGATAAACATGAAATAATCTCCCAAGATATTTATCAGACGTATGACGTCATACATACTCTGTAATTGCCTGCTATGATACTGTATGTTATGGCGTTCTTTGGGGCAGCGTCAGCATCAGTTGCTGACACTGTTACTATAACTTCATCCAGAGAGTGACTCCTACGGATTTCCTTCCTGTACAGATCTAAAAAATGGTGAAACCATACAATAGAATCATTTCACTTTAAACAAATTGTGGATATTGAGGGTTCTGGGTTATTTCGTTCTTATCTTATCGATACTGATAATTTACTATCATGATTGAACTTGCATCACATCCAACCCCATGTTAAAATTCCAGCTTGGTTCATCTAACAGCAGTACATTCATCCACTTTCTGTTCTTTAATGGAACTTAATAAGTTATTTTCTGTCTCTTATCTTAATTGGTATTTTTCTGTACCGACTAAAGATATAATAAAAAAAGTGATACCTTGTGAGAAACGCGGATAATGCATGTTCGTGTCTTCGTATTTGACTTCTACGATGGCTGGAGTTGAGTCCTTCATTGAGGTGTCACCTTTGTCAACCGCTTCAACATTGAGCTGTATACCGACAAGTTTAGGCAATAAAAAATCTACATATTTTTAATGGGCAACATATTCATTAGACGATTCATACAAATGTATACAAAGATAAAGGTTTACTACAAAGAAAATGACATCAAAAGTCAGCAATTATCCATAGCTGTTTGAATACTAAAGCAACAATAGTTATTAGATGTGTAATCACCATTATATAGAAAGTAGACGTCTGTCCAAGGAGCTCGAGACCCCGCGTAGTACGAAGCGTTCCGTTGGTAGAATCAACCACTATTGTTGATTGGCCAAATATTGAAGTGTTCCGGTCACTAAAGGTTGCAGTTTCAGAGTAAAACAGATCTGTGACACTATACAGAATCATATTGAACTCACTACCATCCATATCCTCCGCAATCACATCACCAATCGCTGACCCAGAGGGATGAGTCTAAAAGCATAAATAAAGCAAATTTCATTAAACGCCATATTGCCTGCCTAAATCAAATATGTTTATGAAGTGTTGTCCTACTCATTCACCTTATGGTGAAAGTGACGTCGATATAACTGTTTTTACTGCTAAAGTGAGATTCTCTGTTCTTCCACGGTGTTGCATAGATTTTGGTTTATGTGGTTGTTGCAGATTTTTAAAATGTATATCTTAAAAAAAGGTTATCATAACCTAATTTAGTTATCTTATTTTCAAATGCAGTGAATTATATTCGACCAATCAACACATCGCATATTAAAACAGCAAAATAGTTTATGTTGACATCAACACACCTGGTATATTTTGAACGTGGGGATAGTCTGATATCGGAATCGTGGGGACTGGTCGTTGATATCGAGAACAGTAATGTTCAGAGACAGTGTTTCAGAGTCCTTTGGAGGAGATCCTTGGTCACGTGCTATGATGCCAATGCTTACAGATGGCCCGTCACGCTCTCTGTCCACAGATGTTCCGGCCTTCATACGAATCTCTCCCGTCTCGTTGTGAATCTCAAACACACCTTCAAATATACATATAAATGTATTTTGTAGTAAAATGGATGTGTATTATTTATTATTGTTCAGCAGTTGTGTTTGTCTGGGCTTATTCACATAGATTGAATTTCGCGCTGCGCCGCCTTCAATAGTAAACAGGAGAGCATATTGGCAAACACTATATAATGTAAACATATAGAAAAAATCGCCGATATTGATTTTGCTCTGTCTTGCGTAACCCCGGATAATGGGTAAACTAAATCCCTCCCCGGAATCCAACAGAACAGCTTAGTAAGAGAAAACAGCAGAAAACCATCGGCCAATTTAATCCAGTAAGTCCAAGATTGTACAAAAGATGCACAAGTGAATAGTACCATTTAACACAAATACAGTTCAGATACAGTGGAGTCAAACAATGAACTAAACTGCATCATACAGTTGATTAGTTCGTCCAGGCATGTATCAATGATGCTAAGCACCTAGGAGGTGACTGAAGAAAATCCAAAATGATCGAAAATGTTAAAATGCAGATGGGGTGGAGCATTAGCCCCATAATTCAGTAAATTTCGTTATTTTCATATATCGGATAATCTTAGAAGTATTTCAAGTACATATGTATATTTTGGACCGTGCCACTATTCAAATAAATGAAAATAAGGCGTATAGGCTATAACAAACCTCGAGGACTTTCAAGTGCACAAGCAATGTCTACCGCTTTCTATCTTAAAGACTGTACAAAAGACAAATTTGAACTTCATTATGATAAGTTTCTGACGAATGTAAAAATTATTTTCGTCATTCACATTGATGACGGCATCATGATACTGAACGGTCTACATACATAATTATATACACTTTCTACAGATACAGAACATTTGTCACATCTTTATTACCGCTACAGAACATTTGTCACACCTTAGTTACCGCTACAGAACATTTGTCACACCTCAGTAACCGCTACAGAACATTTGCAACGCCTTAGTTACCGCTACAGAACATTTGGCACACCTTAGTTACCGCTACAGAACATTTGTCACACCTTAGTTACCGCTATGGAACATTTGTCACACCTTCATAACCGCTACAGAACATTTGTCACACCTTAGTTACCGCTACAGAACAATTGTCACACCTTAGTTACCGCTACAGAACATTTGTCACACCTTAGTTACCGCTACAGAACATTTGTCACACCTCAGTAACCGCTACAGAACATTTGCCACATCTTAGTTACCGCTACGGAACATTTGTCACACCTTAGTTACCGCTACAGGACACTTGTCACACCTCAGTAACCGCTACAGAACATTTGTCACACCTTATTTACCGCTACAGAACTTTTGCCACGCCTTAGTTACCGCTACAGGACACTTGTCACACCTTAGTTACCGCTACAGAACAAATGCCACACCTTAGTTACCGCTACAGAATATTTGCCACACCTAAGTAACCGCTACAGAACATTTGCCACACCTTAGTTACTACTACGGAACATTTGTCACACCTTAGTAACCGCTACAGAACATTTGCCACACCTTAGTTACCGCTACAGAACATTTGTCACACCTTAGTTACCGCTACAGAACATTTGTCACGCCTTAGTTACCGCTACAGAACATTTGTCACACCTTAGTTACCGCTACAGAACATTTGCCACACCTTAGTTACCGCTACAGAACATTTGTCACATCTTAGTTACCGCTACAGAACATTTGTCACACCTTAGTAACCGCTACAGAACATTTGTCACACCTTAGTTACCGCTACAGAACAATTATCACACCTTAGTTACCGCTACAGCACAAATGTCACACCTTAGTTACCTGTACAGGACATAAGTCACACCTTACTTACCAGTACAGGACATAAGTCACCTCTCAGTTACCTGTACATGGCATCTGTAACATGTTGCATAAATGATATCGGTCGCACATCACTTGCACTGGATAAAATCAGACCTTTGTTAATGATACCAATACAACATAAGAACAGTAGTCACTCACTTGATGGGTTTTCGAGTCTGTAGGTACAGGAACATTTCCGATTAGCGGTGCCGTCCCAGTCATTTGCAGAGACAGTGTAAAAAACTCCAGTGACTTCAGTCTCCTCTCGCAGTTCTTTATATACTGTTGATTCTGGAAAATTCGGTCGAACATTGGCATCCTCAATATTGATGACGAGCTACAGAGATACAAGAAAAAAATGCCAAAACGTAAATAAAACTATGGCAGAATATGAACAAAAGAAAGATTCACATGGAGATTCATGGAGAACAATATTTCCCTGGTTGCAACAAAATTCAGCAGTGGGACAGTGTAAGACATGTGCTAATTGCATGCACTTTTTGTGAAACACTCATGTCTTTACTATGGTAATGATTTTTTAAAGATTTCGAATGTAGGTCGAAGGTCACGGTCGTGGTCACACAGTGAAAAAAAAATTGGTGCCACCGGAAGGTCTTGCCACAAGGAACAAACATGCCAAATATGAAAGCCCTACCTCCTACGATGCAATAGTTGACAGCAGATACACATAACAAAAATAGCAATATAAAACCCAGCTTTTTCGATCCGGGGGCATTATGAAAGTATAATAAGACCAGATGTTCCGGAAGAGTAAGCGTCATCTTTTTCATTGACGACACTGGCCATTTTGATCTTCTCAAACCCAAGTAAATTATTTCACGTTCCTATCCAGTTTCATATCGCACGAAGAAATAGAACATTTCTAAATGATATCACTATGCTAACCGTAAACGTGTCTTTACTGAGATGGTAAAAGCCTGTGATCAGAGAAAAAAAAACCATTATGATAGTCCCTTTGATAAGTACCCTCTTGATAAACTTCGCTTTAGCCTATCAAAGAATAATCCGAGAAAGTAGTCACTTTGAGATTAGTATAGAAAATATAAGGCGACATAAAATGTGCTGGGTATAAGTCAAATGTCTATGCAACGTGGACAGAAGAGAATGTAGTTTGGGGAGTTATCTCATAATTATATGTTGGAGGCAATATTCAACAAACAATTACCGTTACAGAAGATGACAGACGGACAGCCGCTCCAGGGAGCTGGTCGATAGCAATCACATTTATTTCCATTGTGTCCCGCCTGTAGTCATACAAGGGCTTGCTTACGGTCACTCGTCCACTGGTTGGGCTAATTTGCATGTAGCCTTCGTCACCTAGGAGCAAACGTAATTATCAGGTACAGAGCATGCTCAAAAGACAAAGTAGACACACAGTAACTACTGTCATTTATCTGTCATCACATTTAACAGTCTTATCATAAAATATCTTATATCTTCAACACGATCGATAATGAAAAAAGTTTTTTATTCATATTTAATAAAATGATATTGGAAACTATTCTTTTTTTCAGTTAAGGACCTCCAAACTAGCCATTTTTAAGCCATCAACCTTTCTTGAAAATAAATTTTCTTCGGTGAAAATTCACATTAGTTTTTTTGAACTGTAAAGATAAATAATTAAAATGCATTAGAGATTTTATTAAAGAATTTATATCCGGCGATGAGATATAAACAATTCGTGAACTACATAAACATTGCATGATCACATTATCAGGTAAATTCAGATATTAGTTAAACAGTATTCAAACTATTTATCTAAAATTGTCAAGGTATATATAGCGGTGTGTCTGTCGGGTTTCCTTTCATCAAGTTACCTACAGGATATGTTGTGGACAAGGGTTTATGCACTATGTATATCGTACAAAGGGGATGCTTATCTGTACATTCGAAACAAAATAACATAAAAAAATAACACGATATTATAACACCAAAAGTAAAACAACTTTTAATAAAAGAAACAGCTAAAATGAATAAATACATAAACTATGTAAATAGGATTTCGGTGAGTAGTCTTTACCAGCTGCTAAGATGTAGCGTATTTGTTTATTAAATCCGGAATCTGCATCGGTTGCCATGACTTTGATGACTTCAGATCCGGTGCTAAGGTCACGTGATATGTTGACCTCGTATGACGATTGGTCAAATACAGGAGCGTTATCGTTGACATCAGTAATACTGACAGTGACATAAGCGCTGCTCGACCTCGGGGTTTCCTTTGCCATGTCTGTCGCCACAATGACACAACTATACGAGGTCTCGTTCTCGTAGTCTAATGTCATCAAACCACTTAATGTCATGATAAGTGACTTTGTACCTATAAAATGTTATATTGCAAGGTATTAAGCTTGTAATGTCTTTAAGAAAACTATTTGTATGTATTTAAACATACTGATTTAGGTGTGCATTATGAAACTAATGGAATATCATATATTTTCTTGGAGCTGAAATTTCGTGGTTTGACAAATAATATTTTTGTTGACGCTTGATTTCGTGGATAAGTCTTGCTTACGAAATACATTTTTACTAACCCATGTCATTTTTCATCTGTTAAATACTTCGAGGGCACATACATTCGTGGATTACAACGAAAATTTAAAAATAACTCTCACACGAAAAATGATGATTTTTCATTAAACAAATTGCAATAAACGGCATAGTCTTACACATCCAAATGAATGCAATGCTAAAGAAAAATAATAACGTTACCTGACTTTGTCCGATCTTAATCAATAAGTTAGAAAGGGGACATAATGAAACATCATTATCATTTAATATATATAATAGTAAATACCTGTTTTAATCCTAAATGGACAGGTGCTTGGACTTCCGTCTGACAGTTGTATTCTACCATTTTCATTCGAGTCGGCATCACTTACAGTGCCAAACACGCTAGTCTGAACGATTGTACAAGAGACACACAAGTAAATAGCACATTATAATACAAATTTATAATCAGATACCATAAAGCCAAATAATGAATTAAACTACATCATACAGCTGTTTCGTCCTTTTTGGACTCATCAGTGATGCTACATCATACAGCTGTTTCGTCCTTCTGGGACTCATCAGTGATGCTACAGCAGATAGCTGTGTCGTCCTTCTAGGACTCATCAGTGATGCTACATCATACCGCTGTTTCGTCCTTCTAGGACTCATCAGTGATGCTACATCATACCGCTGTTTCGTCCTTCCAGGACTCATCAGTGATGCTAAAGACCTGAATGTTTAAACCTATAAAGCGACTAGAGATAAGTCGTAGGGATCAAATAAACTTCTCGTATGAGATATATATAGTGCTGTCATATTTATTGGTATGAAACTGGCATATTCAGTCATAAACAACGACAATGTATATGGATAGTAACAAAGATATTTCAACTAAATTTCTTTTTTATTCAGATAATCAACAATTTTTTTGGTCATGCATCAAATAAAATATACTGAAAAAATCTAATAAAAATGGTCCTTGGGCCTTAATGGTACCCTGTGTTAGGATTATAAAATCATTTTGCCCAATTTTAGCTCCGCCCATCAGCCCTTGTATGTATATCATTACAATCAATCTGCTATCATATACTAAAAATTCTAACAAGTTGGAAGTATTTACAATGACTTTTCAATAAATGATACTTAAAACTTTGATTTTCCTACACAAGCTGTGGTGAATTTTATCCACTACCCAGGGGAAGATATAGGACCAGCGTTTGTGAAGTTTAAAATTCGGGTGAATCACCTACGATCTAGCCATCTATGAAGCGTATATGATTTTTGAATTTTAAGTCAATATGATAGTTTTGGTCCCATCCATCAGCCCTAGGATCAACATGTGCATACCATCATAATGCCATCCCACACTGATGATTCTCACCAAGTTTGTATTATTTGCATGCAATAACAGTTAAACAATTCACCTATACATGTTTAAGTTATAAGTAAGTTAACACCCTCCCCAGAGGAAATGCATTTAACCCAGGGCTATGGAATTTATACAATTTTTTTTAAAGCATCTTAAGACCATTCCATAAGAGCACTTGTTTCTATCATTTCTTGTTACTGAGAAGATCTTTGTAATTTTTTGTCGATCTGACAATTGTTGCCTCCTACACGTGTAAATTTGAGTATGCATATTGGTAACGTGGTTTTCCGTGGCGGGCTTTTGAACTTCGTATAACCTTGTTTTGTATTTTTGTTTCTTAATAGATTCAAGATTTGGGTTTGTTCTGATGTATTCTATTTTGTGTTATCATGGACGATGGAACAAACTGTGAACAAATATATAGAAATTCAAGAGATAACATCCGTGCAAAGTGCGTTCTTTTCACTTCAATCTGTTAGTAAATCAGCGAAAATTTCAACTTTATAACAAATAAATACTTAAAGTAGATTTGGAAATCATTACGATTCTGTATATAGCAAATCATACCTCTGATCTGAAGTTTTCTGCGACCTCTAATAGGTAAGTACTCGCCGAGAAGGTTGGGCTATTATCGTTGACGTCAGTGATGGTGACATACACTTCAATACTGGACGTTAGAGGGGCAGGACTTATATCGAACGCCTTCAAAACAAAACAATATACCAAACAATAGACACAGATATGGCTTTGTTTTATATAATGATTCTAAACAAAAAACGATATCCTGAAAAATTATTTATAAAATGATTCTAAACACAAAACGATATCCGGAAAACTTATTTATATAATGATTCTAAACACAAAACGATATCCTGAAAACTTATTTATATAATGATACTAAACACAAAACGATATCCGGAAAACTTATTTATATAATGATACTAAACACAAAACGATATCCTGAAAACTTATTTATATAATGATTCTACACACAAAACGATATCCGGAAAACTTACTTATATAATGATTCTAAACACAAAACTATATCCGGAAAACTTATTTATATAATGATTCTAAACACAAAACGATATCCGGAAAACTTATCTATATAATGATACTAAACACAAAACGATATCCGGAAAACTTATCTATATAATGATACTAAACACAAAACGATATCCGGAAAACTTATTTATATAATGATACTAAACACACTATCCGGAAAACTTGTTCAAGTTAATACATCGCCAACAACATAGAACCCGTCCTGGTTCTACCTGGACTTTATGCTCAATAAAGAAGAAGCCAAAATGTATGAAATTTGATTAAATGTCTCCAGGAATGAATGATGCTGACAAGGATTTTACAAAGAAAGTAATCATAGTGATCGTGAACCCGAAGTCTTCAGCTTGTAACAAAGGGTTCAAAAGATGTTGGTTCATGAAAATTATGGAGAAGATTTATGGTCGCCATATTGATCTCAATGAGAAATATTCTATTTCTTTGTGTAATATGAAGCTGGACGAGTTAAGTGCTCGTTAGTTTGCCTGTCGGTTTTCATTATTGTATACCTTGTTCTCATTTGAGGACATGACATTAATTACTTGGATTGCCCAAGGTTACATGGCGGGTGTCGTCGGTGGAGCAGAAGACGCTTCCGTAACAACCAGTACTATTATCCTTGTACTGTTAAGGAGTCTCCGTGTAAATCTTTCTTTTATTCATATTTTCTCCTAGTTTTATGGAATTTGAGTTTGGATTATGATGATACTGTCATGTTGGTATTTTCATGGTGTTTCCAGTATAGGGACGTTTGATCGAAATCCATCCAGGAATAAAAAGTGATTTTGACAACTTCGCTGAGACAAGATTGCAAAGAATGGACAGTTTGATCAATATATCCCAACGAATGAAGCCACTAGACTTCAGACAAGGAAACTGTTGAATCGTAATCGTTAAGAATATGAAGTGTGATGAAAAATCCCTAAAGACAAGAAGCCGCAAGAGCGTGCGAACGTACAGCCCTGCCCATATCTGCTCGTCGCCAGGAGATACTTACTCCTAATTACAATTTTACCGGAATTAAGTTTAAGTGGAACATCGTCGAGGTTCTGATATATTCTAATGGTAAAGTAAGATTTGCCGTATCCAGAGTGTTGGTAGTTGGCAATGAGTAAGGACCCCAATGGAAATAAGCGTTTCAACGCTTTTTTGGGAAATCCTTGGATATATGTACTTTTGTCTTTATTTTTAAATATCACTAGCTAATACATTAAAGATGTAGCAAGCAACTTATTCATGATTATGTATAACATGTTATATGTGTCATATTATCATATGTTTTGTATACAAATCTGTACATCTTTATCCTGAATAAATTTATTATTATCATTATCAATGAGTTTTTTGGAAAGAGTCCAAACGCGTTGTCGTTCTTACATTGAAACTGACAATTTGCCTCAAATATCTATCACTTACACATCACTTACCAAGATAATAAGCAAAGACCCCTGAATGAAGGTCATACATAAAAGCACTAGACTGTCGTATGTTGAAGAAATATCATTATAGAATTATTTCATCCTTTTTATACCAAACAAATAGATGATCAATATCTTTATCAATATGGTATACAATTTATACTTACAAGCAAGGTATATTGACAGGCAGTGTATGTTTCATAATCAAGACTTTTTACCACTTTCAGTTGGCCGGTCATGTTATCAACGTGAAAGTCCTGCCAACACTCTACAGTTAGATCAAATGAAATACACATCTGAAGACGATACTTAGGCACAAATGACTGACAATATTCATATTGATATCTTTTAATGGTTTGTTTCTTTTTCTTCCCTATCTTTTTTACAATGTCTTACCAATACAATTTAAAATATTTCGAGTCATTATTTGTTTAGATTATTAAATGATATAAAGGAAAAGAATATCTGTCAATGCTTTGCTTCCATATAGCAAAGGTAATGGTTAAACATATAGGACAAATGATTTTGCGTTATGAGATATCACCTACTGTCCCGCTTTTAATTTATCTGGTGCTCAACGCACTTGGCTGATTTCGTTTGAAATCAATTGATCAGTTCTGTGATTTAAATACATTGGGTAGTAGAATATAACCACGTTCACTGTTGTCAGTCATTACCTGTAGAAGGAAGAATAACTCGGCTTTTTATACGAAAAAGAGAAAAATAATGACACTATGAACAGCTTGTAAAATTGGTAGGTTTTACTTGAGATGTAAATATTGTTGGTTTTGTTACGATACCAGCGATAAAGATCTTCTTACCTGAACTCGAGCTATTGCGAAGGGAAAAAAAATTTCGTTCATTGACACCCACATCTTCGTCCGTCACAGATACTGTTATAATTACATAGCCTATTGCCAAATCCTCCCTCGCGACCAGCCTGTACTTGTCTCTCGGAAATACTGGAGGGTGGTCGTTTTTGTCCGTTAAAGTCACGTTTACCTACAATAAAAGTGATTTACTCAAGGTATACATTTCAACCCTATGTCGTATAGAACACTTATTTGATAACATATAACGTTGGTTATCTAGGAATAATAACACGTCATATCAATATACAAAAACAGAAAACAATCGAGGAATTGTGTCACACAGCTTTTCTCCAATAATGAGCAGACCCTTTACCGCCTGATATATAGAAGTGACGATTTTTATATTATTATTTTTACCTAACTAGACTTAGTTAATTTTCAATTCAGAAAAGACACAAGCTTTGTCTTTTCTAAATTGAAAATTAAATAACGAGAGTCAGATAAACATGATAAACAATCGTCATATGTTGGGCAACTTGTTTATGTACCGAGTGTAACGTGACAAAAGTGGTGATATTGGCGTGGTTGACGGGAGTTCATTATCAGAATGCACTGATACTTCGCATATTTTTGGGTCCGGAAATCTACTGTATAAAAAAGTCACGAATGTGCCATGCAGTGTTTTGTTTACATTTTATCAGTTTATCAATTTATTGACATGAGACAAGTGTTCCAAAACGGAATTTCATAATTTTGTGTTTGGGATGTAAATTTGTAATAAAATAATGTTAAACTATTAAAAAGTGTTATAATTATATTATATATATATATAGATATTATCAGCTGATGATCGGAGATCATCTTTATGTTTGTCATTAACAGGCGACAAAAAAAAGTAGTTATATTGTAAAGTAGTCCGATGTTCAAAAGTTAACCAATCAGAATAGTTGGGGGTCAGAGACGACCAATTGGAGGCTTTGAAAGTAATTACACACCGCGGAATTGAAACAAAAACAATTACATACTGCTAAGAAGTTAATCACATGTCCAATCAGTTTTGACTCAGATGTAGTGATAGGATAATTACAGATATTCTTAGATTCTGTTTCAATTAAGTTGCATTTTAATTTAAAGCTACAAAAATGATATTAATAACAAGAACTGTTCACATTTTAAAACTGCCTATATTATCCCTATACAATCCATCTGTCTGTTCTATCCTGACATTTTACTTGTCAAATAAATTGAGCTTTAATTATTATAACCTATAATTTCTGCAAAACATCGTTTTCCCAAACGAGTATTTACGAATATGTCTCCAAACCTGTCATCTATCTCCATAGGTAGGGTGTTTCGCACTAATTATACAGGTCACTTCGCATGAGAACAGAGGTCATCTACAAAGGTTTCGCCAAACCCTTCTGCTCTAATACACAAATGCCGGTTTAAATAAAGAGTGGACCAGGATCCTAAACGGTCATCTGACAATCGACAGACGGATGAACATACCACAAATCTGATGAATTATAATATTGAACATTCCTAGAGAGTATCAGAAACTTATAAATGGTATTTGTTGTTAATGGAAAAATTTGGACCAAACCGGAAAAAAAGGAACAATCTCTGGATCACTTCATGCATATTTGATATCGTTGTCACTCCCTATTAATGTTTCAGGACAAATCTGGTTGAAATATTCAAGCATTAAGGAATTAATACATTGCGAAGCAAAACATAAAACTGAAATTTTAGAGCCCCATCCGAATTGTCTATGGTATGATTCCCCACCACCAATGATGTTTCACATTATCTTTAGTTGAAATCCGCCCAGGCGTAAAACAAGAGTAGTGCTTTAAAGGGAAAGTTTTCAGACGGCGGACATATGCATTGCATAGTTCATACCAGTGTTAAATCTCCTGTTTCCGCACCATCAGCTCGTACACGGACGAAGACGACGTACTCGTCATCTATCTCCCGATCTAAAGCTTTCCTAGTAGTTATATTTCCAGATGTGCTATCAATTGCGAATAAGTCTGACGAGTCTGGAATGTCATATCTCGCTTGAAGGCCCTTTGGATTGTCCAAGTTTAGACTCACATCGCCTACCATTGTGCCTGAACTTTCTTCTTCTAACACAGTAAACTTGTGTTGTTGTATCCTAAATTTGAGGTCGATATCCGTGTCCACTGTGACTTGTATTGTGATGGTGGAGGAGACACTACGCGGTGGCACTCCTCTATCTGTCACCACAACCGTTGTGGTATACGTGCCAGGAAGAGGTACGTTAACTTTCTGTACCGTCTTGATGATACCATTGTCATCAATGGTAACCAAATCTGTCAAAGTCAACGAAAACGTCACTTCACCATTCCGACCAGAGTCTCTATCGTCAACATCCACGACCATAAGCGGTCTACTGATTGCAAAATCCTTTCTAAAAACACAAAATCAAACAAAAAAATTGATTACCATTTTGAACTTTTGAACGCATGAAATTACTGGTAATATCAGCACAATTGTGTTTTTTTTAAAGTCGAAACGAAGAGAAAAAAAACAGTAACGGCGTAAAGAAAGCAAACTATTAGGTATGTAAAGGTTAGAGAGGCAAATCAACTTGTTTACGAAAGAATTCTGAGTACGTTGCGGGAATAACTCTTTAATTCACAACATCCATGTGTTTCTGTCACTTTTAAGAACACCCCCGTCCTGTCTTTAAAATGAGCATAACCAATAAAACAAATTTAATTTCAATATCATCTATTTGTCTTTACCACCAAAACCGTAGTTTACATGTCTGTAAATGTCATGTCTGGCGCGTGGAATCAGTACCGCGGTACTTTTGCGGTAATTTTTAAAGTGGATATGCAATTGCATGTCTTCTATTTTTCAGTTTGTGAATTAATTTTGTATAAACTAAAAACTCCAAGCAATATATGTATGAAAATATAAATATCGTATCTAAAAAAGACATCGTGTATCTATTTTTGTTTACTTGCTGTCGTTGACAAAATTGTCTTCCCTTTTCTAGGATAAACAGACAAAATTCAAATTCTTGATCAAAGATATCAAAAGGGTGTAGGTTTGTGGATTTCCTATAGCAGAGTGGGTGATATTAGGACTGTAGTAGATAACTTTCTGTTGTATACAGGCTGTAGGAGGGTGGGTGATATAAGGACTGTAGTAGACAACTTACTGTTGTATACAGGCTGTAGGAGGGTGGGTTATATAAGGACTGTAGTAGACAACTTACTGTTGTATACAGGCTGTAGGAGGGTGGGTGATATAAGGACTGTAGTAGACAACTTACTGTTGTATACAGGCTGTAGGAGGGTGGGTTATATAAGGACTGTAGTAGACAACTTACTGTTATATACAGGCTGTAGGAGGTTGGGTGATATTAGGACTGTAGCAGACAACTTACTGTTGTATACAGGCTGTAGGAGGGTGGGTGATATAAGGACTGTAGTAGACAACTTAATGTTGTATACAGGCTGTAGGAGGGTGGGTGATATTCCGACTGTAGCAGACAACTTAATGTTGTATACAGGCTGTAGGAGGGTGGGTGATATAAGGACTGTAGTAGACAACTTACTGTTGTATACAGGCTGTAGGAGGGTGGGTGATATAAGGACTGTAGTAGACAACTTACTGTTATATACAGGCTGTAGGAGGGTGGGTGATATAAGGACTGTAGTAGACAACTTACTGTTGTATACAGGCTGTAGGAGGGTGGGTTATATAAGGACTGTAGTAGACAACTTACTGTTATATACAGGCTGTAGGAGGTTGGGTGATATTAGGACTGTAGCAGACAACTTACTGTTGTATACAGGCTGTAGGAGGGTGGGTGATATAAGGACTGTAGCAGACAACTTACTGTTGTATACAGGCTGTAGGAGGGTGGGTGATATAAGGACTGTAGTAGACAACTTAATGTTGTATACAGGCTGTAGGAGGGTGGGTGATATTCCGACTGTAGCAGACAACTTGATGTTGTATACAGGCTGTAGGAGGGTGGGTGATATAAGGACTGTAGTAGACAACTAACTGTTGTATACAGGCTGTAGGAGGGTGGGTGATATAAGGACTGTAGTAGACAACTTACTGTTATATACAGGCTGTAGGAGGGTGGGTGATATAAGGACTGTAGTAGACAACTTACTGTTGTATACAGGCTGTAGGAGGGTGGGTTATATAAGGACTGTAGTAGACAACTTACTGTTATATACAGGCTGTAGGAGGTTGGGTGATATTAGGACTGTAGCAGACAACTTACTGTTGTATACAGGCTGTAGGAGGGTGGGTGATATAAGGACTGTAGTAGACAACTTACTGTTGTATACAGGCTGTAGGAGGGTGGGTGATATTCCGACTGTAGCAGACAACTTAATGTTGTATACAGGCTGTAGGAGGGTGGGTGATATAAGGACTGTAGTAGACAACTTACTGTTGTATACAGGCTGTAGGAGGGTGGGTTATATAAGGACTGTAGTAGACAAATTACTGTTGTATACAGGCTGTAGGAGGGTGGGTGATATTAGTACTGTAGTAGACAACTTACTGTTGTATACAGGCTGTAGGAGGGTGGGTGATATAAGGACTGTAGTAGACAACTTACTGTTGTATACAGGCTGTAGGAGGGTGGGTGATATTCCGACTGTAGTAGACAACTTTGTATACAGGCTGTAGGAGGGTGGGTGATATAAGGACTGTAGTAGACAAGTTACTGTTGTATACAGGCTGTAGGAGGGTGGATGATATTCCGACTGTAGTAGACAACTTACTGTTATATACAGGCTGTAGGAGGGTGGGTGATATTAGGACTGTAGTAGACAACTTACTGTTGTAGACTGACTGTTTCAGGATGGGTGATATTAGGACTGTTGTCATTGATATCTTCAAGGTTGATGATGACGGTGGCGTCAGTCTGTCGAGGACTAAGTCCCGTGTCTCTCACGGTAACCGCCAGGCTGTACCTTTGTGTTACCTCAAAGTCCAATCTTTCCTTGCATCTGACTTCACCACTGTTCGGGTCAACAGTAAATCTTGTGCTGTAAAGTGACAAAACGTTAAAAAACGTGAAATGTTCACCACATGGAAAAAGGCCCAGATTAGGAGAAATACATCTGAATATTTACAAAGTCTAGACTACGGTGTTGGTTAATTGTGAGATTTTTAAATGACTCATGATATTAACTGTACATTTTTTTATAAACAGTTTACACTTGTATTGCAATACCTATTATTTTTTACATCAAATATAACAGACATATACAGGGCAATCTCTTTTCGTCGACAAATTCTATCGAATACTAACACTTTTTGTATATTTCTATCATTAACATGTTATCCCGGGAAAATTCTCATCTGTTGTATCGTTTGATTAACTTACTCCGACGTGTTGTATCGTTTGAGTCACTTACTCCGACGTGTTGTATCGTTTGAGTCACTTACTCCGACGTGTTGTATCGTTTGAGTCACTTACTCCGACGTGTTGTATCGTTTCATACACTTACTCCGACGTGTTGTATCGTTTGAGTCACTTACTCCGACGTGTTTATCGTTTGAGTCACTTACTCCGACGTGTTGTATCGTTTGAGTCACTTACTCCGACGTGTTGTATCGTTTGAGTCACTTACTCCGACGTGTTGTATCGTTTGATACACTTACTCCGACGTGTTGTATCGTTTGAGTCACTTACTCTGACGTGCTGTATCGTTTGAGTCACTTACTCCGACGTGTTGTATCGTTTGAGTCACTTACTCCGACGTGTTTATCGTTTGAGTCACTTACTCCGACGTGTTTATCGTTTGAATCACTTACTCTGACTTGCTGTATCGTTTGATACACTTACTCTGACTTGCTGTATCGTTTGATACACTTACTCTGACGTGCTGTGTCGTTTGAGTCACTTACTCTGACTTGCTGTATCGTTTCATACACTGACTCTGACGTGTTGTATCGTTTGAGTCACTTACTCCGACGTGTTGTATCGTTTGAGTCACTTACTCTGACGTGTTGTATCGTTTGAGTCACTTACTCTGACTTGCTGTATCGTTTGATACACTTACTCTGACTTGCTGTATCGTTTGATACACTTACTCTGACGTGTTGTATCGTTTGAGTCACTTACTCTGACTTGCTGTATCGTTTCATACACTGACTCTGACGTGTTGTATCGTTTGAGTCACTTACTCCGACGTGTTGTATCGTTTGAGTTACTTACTCTGACGTGCTGTATCGTTTGAGTCACTTACTCCGACGTGTTGTATCGATTGAGTCATTTACTATGACTTGCTGTATCGTTTGATACACTTACTCTGACTTGCTGTATCGTTTGAGTCACTTACTCTGACGTGCTGTATCGATTGAGTCACTTACTCTGACGTGTTGTATCGTTTGAGTTACTTACTCTGACGTGCTGTATCGTTTGAGTCACTTACTCTGACGTGTTGTATCGTTTGATACACTTACTCTGACGACTTGCTGTATCGTTTGATACACTTACTCTGACTTGCTGTATCGATTGAGTCATTTACTCTGACGTGTTGTATCGTTTGATACACTTACTCCGACGTGCTGTATCGTTTGATACACTTACTCCGACTTGCTGTATCGTTTGATACACTTACTCTGACTTGCTGTATCGTTTGAGTCACTTACTCTGACGTGTTGTATCGTTTGAGTCACTTACTCTGACGTGTTGTATCGTTTGAGTCACTTACTCTGACGTGTTGTATCGTTTGATACACTTACTCTGACTTGCTGTATCGTTTGATACACTTACTCTGACTTGCTGTATCGTTTGATACACTTACCCTGACTTGCTGTATCGTTTGATACACTTACCCTGACGTGTTGTATTGTTTGAGTCACTTACCCTGACGTGTTGTATCGTTTGAGTCACTTACTCTGACGTGTTGTATCGTTTGATACACTTACTCTGACGTGCTGTATCGTTTGATACACTTACCCTGACGTGTTGTATTGTTTGAGTCAATTACTCTGACGTGCGGTATCGTTTGAGTCACTAACCCTGACGTGTTTTATCGTTTGATACACTTACTCTGACTTGCTGTATCGTTTGAGTCACTTACCCTGACGTGTTGTATTGTTTGAGTCACTTACTCCGACGTGTTTATCGTTTGAGTCACTTACTCTGACGTGTTGTATCGTTTGATACACTTACTCCGACAAGTTGTATCGTTTGAGTTACTTACTCTGACTTGCTGTATCGTTTGATACACTTACTCCGACGTGTTTATCGTTTGAGTTACTTACTCCGACTTGTTGTATCGTTTGAGTCACTTACTCTGACGTGTTGTATCGTTTGAGTCACTTACTCTGACGTGTTGTATCGTTTGATACACTTACTCCGACGTGTTGTATCGTTTGATACACTTACTCTGACGTGTTGTATCGTTTGAGTCACTTACTCTGACGTGTTGTATCGTTTGATACACTTACTCCGACGTGCTGTATCGTTTGATACACTTACTCTGACGTGTTGTATCGTTTGAGTCACTTACTCTGACGTGTTGTATCGTTTGAGTTACTTACTCTGACGTGTTGTATCGTTTGAGTCACTTACTCTGACGTGCTGTATCGTTTGATACACTTACTCTGACGTGTTGTATCGTTTGATACACTTACTCTGACGTGTTGTATCGTTTGAGTCACTTACTCTGACGTGTTGTATCGTTTGAGTTACTTACTCTGACGTGTTGTATCGGAGAATATCACTGGAATCCCTGTCAGTAGCACTTATTTGTCCTATACCATTAGTGCACGAGACCTCTTCTTTTATCGTTATCACAAGGGAAGTGTCCAAGAACACCGGATCATTGTCGTTAACGTCAAGGACGTCAACTACGACTGTAGTTGAGGAGCTTCGTGGGGGGTCCCCACCATCAATTACCGTAACGATGAGGGTGTAGGACGATTTTTCTTCCCTGTCCAGTGCATTAATAACGGATATTACACTCGTATTGTAGCCTATAACAATATTATCGCCACCCCCATTCAGGAAGTAAGAAAGATCACCATTGCTGCCGGTATCGGCATCAGTAGCAGAAGTCGTAATCAGCTTTGGAGCAGTTTTTCCTTCAGAGATATCCACCCTAAAAATAGGAAATAAGGTTCAATACGAAATAAGTTCCGTTTCATTTATCTATTTAACGTATATATGTATTTGCGAAGCTTTGTATTCTATTAAATTTGATATTTCAATACAAATTAATTTGTTATTATAAAGACAAATGAATTGAACTGTTTCATATCGATGCTCTATGACACGTCAGTGAAGCTTTTTGCATAAAGAGTTGAAACCTAGGCAGCTAATCCTTGGAATAGGAATCAGAACTGATAGAAATCGATGTCGAAATGTAGACGTGATGGAAGTGCACTGATAATTCCAGCACTTTTAAAATTTTCAATATTGGATGATTTCTTAAGCGTTAATTCTGAACCGTGTCCCTATTCAAAGTAACAAAAACGCTACAGAAACCCGCTCCTTTTGAAAAATGGCATAGTTCATGATATACCTGATGTTCTATTATGAAATAGATTAAATTTTCGAGATGATGTACCTCTACATTTGGGTTTTGACTATCAATTCGACCTTCTTAGATTTTTCTCAGTCACCTTCTTAGGTATTAAGAGTTTGAGCCTTAGCATCAAGAATGAGTCCAAGAGTGATGGAACAGCCGGAGGACGCAGTACCTCGGTGTTAGGCTATAATGTTGATTGACAGATGACATCACTTCTTTAATTATTTTTTTTCCAAGGGAGATTATAAGATACAGTCACTGATGTCTATAGAAAGTAAGACATCGCCTAATGTTAATGATGAAGGGTTGCCAACCTTGTCAGTTCCTTTGTATTGTCAATGAGTAGTCATTACCAACAAGTACAGTTACATGTGATATCTACGATTACCTGTATGTGGGGGAGGGGAAGGCAGGGTCATTATCATTTAGGTCAGTGACGGTCACGGTCACGGTGGTCGTGCTGGTAAACAAGCCATCGTCAGCTGTCACCACTACAGCGTAAGAGCTGGTAGTCTCTCTATCAAGAATTTGCCGAGTTGAAATCACACCGGATTGTGAGATGCTGAAGAAGGTGCTCCTTTGGGTGATTCTGTAGGTAAAATTACCTATGTCCTTATCGGTGGCCTTTATTGGAAAGTCGAGCTAAAAAAATAGCACAACACCATTAGGAATACGAGAATAATCTATTGATATAAGAATTTATACCATTCTGTGGTTGGTATAATATTATTCGTACATTATGTTAAAGGTTTAGTAACTTTTCTGATCGTCGAAAAAAGGATTGGTTTCCTGGAACGTCTGAAGAATTCGTGTCAAATTCGTTAACTAACTTTAAAATATAATTTGATCGAAGATTAAGTTACCAGAAAAAGCAAAGATTTTTCATATTTCTAGCACAAAACTATTGTTACAGCATATCCTTTTTATGGCACTTGAATCATTTAAACTGTTGTATGTATTTTGATTTGATACTACAAGACATTGTCTGAATCTGCAGGTCGTCATTTCATTAACACTTAAGAGAATGTCATGTGAAATATGGTAGACTCATCACTGAATAAAGTAGGAAAAAATCCAATTTTGATGATTAATGATGATCACCTTTACTAAGCTATTACTCGTTGCATTTTCCTCCACTTCTCCATTGTAGCTAGGCCTTCCAAACACGGGGGGATTGTCGTTAACATCCGTTACTGTTATATTTAGGTCTCCCAACACCTGGCAAACATAAAAAAAATACTGCATTGTTATGATATCTCGAGTAAAATATTCACCATAATTGTAGATACAAACTGAATGCGTTCGTTTTACTTACATGTTGAAATACCATGAAGGGCAATCATAGTCGTGTATGAAATCCACTACAGAATGAAGTTGATTTTCGTTGGCTGAAGTCAATTGGATTCATCGAAGATCAACTCTATGTATTTATAACGATATATGTTCACTATCTAGTTAAAACATTGAAGTTTATGTGAAATTTTAATAGTGCTTACAACAAGAGCACACGAAGCGCTTTTCTCTTCAATAGCGGTCACAGAAAACTTGAAGGTGTCTTGTATTTCTCGATCGAGCGTCCGACTCACAGACACTCTCCCCTGTAAATAACGCAAACATAAAGTGTTAAACATAACAAGTTTCTTGTTTATCTAACTAAAATGGTTGTATCTCTGAATAATAGTTACCTTAATTTCATTCTAACTGCATTTTTTCTGAAAAATTCAAACAATTAAGTGGAAGTCATACTGGCTTGCATAAAAAACAAAGCCAGGGCACAAACATGGAAGAATGATTCCTTCATTGCAATGTTTACATTATCCTGAAATAAGAAATGTATAGCTGACGAGTATGTTGTGGTAGAGGAAAATACATTCATAATCATCAGATTCTTTAAAATGTTTTAGTAAACAGTAGGAGCAGTATCATAACTTTTATCCGACCCTGAATTGTTTCCATGAACGATGTTTTTCCTCCCTTTTCAGGCCAGAAATAGTAACACAATTAAAAAATGATATTAGAAGATTTACTTACTGTGTCAAAATTGATTGTAAAAAACTCCGTTGAAACAGTACGGCTTGCAAATTCGTAATTCGTGTACCCCGTCCTGAAAACGGACCTTACGACAGCATTTAAAGACGCATCCTCCGAGATGTCAGCGTTAAACTGGAGTCCGAGGTTACGTTCCGGGGTCTTCCGCAGATACACTGTAACATTCGCCGTGTCTGTATGAATACTGATCTCATCTCGTACCAGCACCCCGAAGGTCACATAAAGTTCACCACTTTTCTCCGTACCGTTGACAAACGGAATGCTGCTCGTGCTTTGTTGTGTTTTAACTATGCCATCATGTTGTCCTATTGTGAAATATGCAGACGGTTGATCCAGGAGGTAGGTTAGCTGTATAAGTATATATCACACTCTCGTTTAATAATCAATACAACAGCATAAAATTTCATTTCAGTTTTTAGATATTCTGTATTCATATAATATTGTGCTCTGTGTTCAAGTCACAGTTGTAGAAGACGACAAAAGACTGGTATTATGCTAACGGCAAGCTGTGATAAGCAGGTCACATTGTTGTTGTGGTGTTATCTTGTCAAGACAAGTATCTCGGAAATAAATCTATATAATTGTTTATATATACCCCTGGTTGTAGATGATAACTTAAATCACACTAACAGGGGGACCCTTTTTTATCGAGACGGATGCCTTTGGTTAACTAGTAATCCTGAACCTGGCGTGGCTTGTCCGTACCTGCAAAACTGGCGGCGTCGCACTAATTCTTGACTAGCAAGTACTACCCAATTGTTTTGATACTCATACCTATAATATGTAGCAAATTCTCCTGCAGTTTATTTTCTGGTGAGCCGACCGCATATCGCTATTAAGCGCCATCGATGAAATACACCAAAGAAATAAAGTGATATCCCATTAAGATATGAAGTAATTTAGTTTTAAAATGTACTGATTCAGAAACGCCCTTTAATTTCAAAACCATAATGTCTGTAGAAGTACATATCTATAAAGCAAAGAGCTAATATGTCGCATCACAACGTAATACTTCAAAATTTTTAAGCATTTCTCAAACGGTAGACTTTCGAGCATTTTGTAAGAAGGTTGGGATTTGTGATTTGGGCATTGAGGTTTACAGATCAGACAAATCGCCCACAATCATAGTGATTTCAAATATAACCTAGACAATACAATTCTTTGATTCGTTTGAAAGAAAGACATTAAATTCTCAAATACGAAGACTGTTACAGCTGTTTAATTAGAAATAATTAATTGGATTTTAACCAGCAACACCATTCCTTCTACTATTTTGGGCAACTGTCTCTGATGATCCTGGTTTATTATTTTAAAACTGTAACGTTTTACAAACACTGAATAAAGTATTTGGTCTATGAAGATTTTAATTTAAATATCAGTGTATCGGCGCATGCTACATAATTCGTTTTAAGAATAAGCTTTATGTTAAGAGTCTAAGAATGAAGTACAGGTTTCCGTTGTGTAGGGAAAAAAACCTTATATGCATAGTAGTAGCAACTTAAAAGTGTCGACCACTAAAAATTTAAGATGGCGTTATATAAAAGATTTTTCCGGGGCATGAAGAATTAGAAATACTTAATTTAAATCAGTTTTCCAAATTTGCAAAATGAAGAAAAAAAAAAGCCAAAAAATCTCTCTTTTTTATTTTATTTTTCGCGACGAATCACGACCTAACAAGCCACACTTTGATTTGATAGGAATACTGATACATGCATTTGTTTTAAAAGTTTTATCCTCGCTTCGTCAAACAAACTGGTCTTTAGCTTCATATAAAACCCAGCATTTACTTATTCTCTTCAAACTTACATAAATCTCTAATAACACGTCTTTCAAAACAACAGCATTTAACTTCCGTATGCTTTGTTCTGCAAGTCAATTTCATGAACTTTAACATTTGACATCATTAGCAAAGTGAAATTTTGACACCCCGTGCCTCCTTTTCGAATGGAACTCTCCTGTTTCATGGTAATATAGCAAGATTGTGAAATTTGTCTGTGTATTAGAGGATTCGGCTAACAGATCACTGTGGATAACTACACAGTTTATGTCATCAAATACTTTTCCCAGATTAATGTATATCGCACATACCTGTGTTCCGGCGTCAACGTCCTTGGCTCTGACCGATCCACACACGACACTTGACAATGGCGTGGGGAATATCGTGAATTCATACTTGTCTGTACGCTGCTCCCTATCTTTGACGAAATATGGACTGTTATCATTAGCTGGCTGGACCTCTATCTCCACGGTGACGGGAACGGTCATCACGTCACTGTCTACAGTGATTCGAACATTTATAACAAACGTGAAACTTCTTTGTCCATTGTCATAGTCAAGCAGTACTGCATTCTGCACTTTTAACACGGAGCCATCGAATGCGAAAATGTTGCTATTGATATTAGAGGTTGCACTGAACGTCAATGTAGATTGGTGTAAACGGTTGAAGGATGCCACCACGGCGTTGTTTGGTACAACCTCGGACAGTTTCTTCATCACATTTGTCTTCAGCAAGACAGTGGTTAGGATTGTACTTGTGGTAGACGTGCCATCGTGACGTTGGATGTCAGTGGTGAAAAATGTTGCTACTTCTGTATCATTAGCTGAGAATAGAATGAAGAAGAATATATTGTGTCTCAACTATTCAGGAAAAAGTCAAAATGTAACAAATAAGTGTATACAGATTTTCGGGAGATGGTATCTCCAAACTTTATTGATTATAAAGATAATTGTTTTATAAAATATTAATATCATTTTTAAAGAAAATTGTACAGGAAAGTGCCCTAGCAAGCATTCCATTGACTGCCAAACCATATTAACAATAAACATGTAAGAAAATGAAAAGTATAAAGAGCATCCTGTAATCGCCGGATTCGGGATTAATAAGAGACGTCATCTATGGTAAGTTGTGTGACGGTTACAGACAAATGTCTTCTATGGTAAGTTATGTGACGGTTACAGACAAATGTCTTCTATGGTAAGTTGTGTGACGGTTACAGACAAATGTCGAGTGGTTAGTTGTGTGACGGTTACAGAAAAATGTCGAGTGGTTAGTTGTGTGACGGTTACAGAAAAATGTCGAGTGGTTAGTTGTGTGACGGTTACAGACAAATGTCGAGTGGTTAGTTATGTGACGGTTACAGACAAATGTCTTCTATGGTAAGTTGTGTGACGGTTACAGACAAATGTCGAGTGGTTAGTTGTGTGACGGTTACAGAAAAATGTCGAGTGGTTAGTTGTGTGACGGTTACAGACAAATGTCGTCTATGGTAAGTTGTGTGACGGTAACAGACAAATGTCTTCTATGGTAAGTTGTGTGACGGTTACAGACAAATGTCGAGTGGTAAGTTGTGTGACAGTTACAGACAAATGTCGAGTGGTTAGTTGTGTGACGGTTACAGACAAATGTCGTTTCTGGTTAGTTGTGTGACGGTTACAGACAAATGTCGTCTATGGTAAGTTGTGTGACGGTTACAGACAAATGTCTTCTATGGTAAGTTGTGTGACGGTTACAGACAAATGTCGTCTCTGGTTAGTTGTGTGACGGTTACAGAAAAATGTCGTCTCTGGTTAGTTGTGTGACGGTTACAGACAGATGTCGTCTCTGGTTAATTGTGTGACGGTTACAGACAGATGTCGTCTCTGGTTAGTTATGTGACGGTTACAGACAAATGTCGAGTGGTTAGTTGTGTGACGGTTACAGACAAATGTCGTCTCTGGTTAGTTGTGTGACGGTTACAGACAAATGTCGTCTCTGGTAAGTTGTGTGACGGTTACAGACAAATGTCGTCTCTGGTTAGTTGTGTGACGGTTACAGACAAATGTCGAGTGGTTAGTTGTGTGACGGTTACAGACAAATGTCGAGTGGTTAGTTGTGTGACGGTTACAGACAAATGTCGTTTCTGGTTAGTTGTGTGACGGTTACAGGCAAATATCGTCTCTGGTAAGTTATGTGACGGTTACAGACAAATGTCGAGTGGTTAGTTGTGTGACGGTTACAGACAAATGTCGAGTGGTTAGTTGTGTGACGGTTACAGACAAATGTCGTCTCTGGTTAGTTGTGTGACGGTTACAGGCAAATGTCGTCTCTGGTAAGTTATGTGACGGTTACAGACAAATGTCGAGTGGTTAGTTGTGTGACGGTTACAGACAAATGTCGAGTGGTTAGTTGTGTGACGGTTACAGACAAATGTCGTCTCTGGTTAGTTGTGTGACGGTTACAGGCAAATGTCGTCTCTGGTTAGTTGTGTGACGGTTACAGAAAAATGTCGTCTCTGGTTAGTTATGTGACGGTTACAGACAAATGTCGAGTGGTTAGTTGTGTGACGGTTACAGAAAAATGTCGAGTGGTTAGTTGTGTGACGGTTACAGACAAATGTCGTCTATGGTAAGTTGTGTGACGGTAACAGACAAATGTCTTCTATGGTAAGTTGTGTGACGGTTACAGACAAATGTCGAGTGGTAAGTTGTGTGACAGTTACAGACAAATGTCGAGTGGTTAGTTGTGTGACGGTTACAGACAAATGTCGTTTCTGGTTAGTTGTGTGACGGTTACAGACAAATGTCGTCTATGGTAAGTTGTGTGACGGTTACAGACAAATGTCTTCTATGGTAAGTTGTGTGACGGTTACAGACAAATGTCGTCTCTGGTTAGTTGTGTGACGGTTACAGACAAATGTCGTCTCTGGTTAGTTGTGTGACGGTTACAGACAGATGTCGTCTCTGGTTAATTGTGTGACGGTTACAGACAGATGTCGTCTCTGGTTAGTTATGTGACGGTTACAGACAAATGTCGAGTGGTTAGTTGTGTGACGGTTACAGACAAATGTCGTCTCTGGTTAGTTGTGTGACGGTTACAGACAAATGTCGTCTCTGGTAAGTTGTGTGACGGTTACAGACAAATGTCGTCTCTGGTTAGTTGTGTGACGGTTACAGACAAATGTCGAGTGGTTAGTTGTGTGACGGTTACAGACAAATGTCGAGTGGTTAGTTGTGTGACGGTTACAGACAAATGTCGTTTCTGGTTAGTTGTGTGACGGTTACAGGCAAATATCGTCTCTGGTAAGTTATGTGACGGTTACAGACAAATGTCGAGTGGTTAGTTGTGTGACGGTTACAGACAAATGTCGAGTGGTTAGTTGTGTGACGGTTACAGACAAATGTCGTCTCTGGTTAGTTGTGTGACGGTTACAGGCAAATGTCGTCTCTGGTAAGTTATGTGACGGTTACAGACAAATGTCGAGTGGTTAGTTGTGTGACGGTTACAGACAAATGTCGAGTGGTTAGTTGTGTGACGGTTACAGACAAATGTCGTCTCTGGTTAGTTGTGTGACGGTTACAGGCAAATGTCGTCTCTGGTTAGTTGTGTGACGGTTACAGAAAAATGTCGTCTCTGGTTAGTTATGTGACGGTTACAGACAAATGTCGAGTGGTTAGTTGTGTGACGGTTACAGACAAATGTCGTCTCTTGTTAGTTGTGTGACGGTTACAGACAAATGTCGTCTCTGGTTAGTTGTGTGACGGTTACAGGCAAATGTCGTCTCTGGTAAGTTATGTGACGGTTACAGACAAATGTCTTCTATGGTAAATTGTGTGACGGTTACAGAAAAATGTCGTCTCTGGTTAGTTGTGTGACGGTTACAGACAGATGTCGTCTCTGGTTAGTTGTGTGACGGTTACAGAAAAATGTCGTCTCTGGTAAGTTATGTGACGGTTACAGACAAATGTCGTCTCTGGTTAGTTGTGTGACGGTTACAGACAAATGTCGTCTCTGGTTAGTTGTGTGACGGTTACAGACAAATGTCGTCTCTGGTAAGTTATGTGACGGTTACAGACAAATGTCGTCTCTGGTTAGTTATGTGACGGTTACAGACAAATGTCGTCTATGGTAAGTTGTGTGACGGTTACAGACAAATGTCTTCTATAGTAAGTTGTGTGACGGTTACAGACAAATGTCTTCTATGGTAAGTTGTGTGACGGTTACAGACAAATTTCGTTTATGGTTAGTTGTGTGACTACATGAAAAAGATGCCGTCTTTTTGTGTGACGATTACAAACAAGAGTCGGCGCCTACAGTTAGTTGTATGACGGATACATACAAGAGATGCTGTCTTTTTTTATATTTACAGACAGAAGTTGTCGTTCTTGGTTAACTTGTGACGTTAATGACTTACATGTTAAACCATCTACGCTCAGCTGTTTTGCGGTGAAGACTGATCCATCAGATGTTATCCTCAGGAAGTTGGAGTTGGAGAGAGAAAGTTTCCCGCCGGGCGCTACTGACGTAACAAGATGATCAGAGAACGTCATATCCGGTAAAACAACAGTGTTCCCTTCTGTCCTCTGAATAGTTACCGTTAGAAAGATGGCGTCCATGATGACATTAATGCCAGTTTCAAACTTTGCCTTCACCATCAGCTTTCTAACACTGGTGTCGCCAGGAAGAACTGATGTAGTTCGAATTGTCAAGGTCCTACATGAACTAACCACAGCCTCGAATAGATCAGCGTCTCCAAACATGGTTATTTCTGGGTTTGTAGTACAAATGTCCAGTATTTTTGAAAAATTGGTCCTCAATACTAGGCGGCAAAAACAAAATATCACATAAGCGGGATATTTTATAATGCTGCTGGTATAAAATTTACAATAGAAGTCATCGACAAAATATATGACATGGGCAGTGGAGTTTATAGTGATGCTGGTATAGAATTTACAATATTTACAAAAATCGACATGGATGAGTGGGTAGTGGTATGGTGATGCTTGGATTTGAATTACAGTCTAAACAAACGAGTTTGTATTTAGTGTAGCAGCAGAGTTACACTGATGACGAAAGACATGCCTGTACAACGTATAGTAAAATACCTGTTTGACGTTTAAAAGTAAAACCAAAATAATAACAGGAGGCCCACGAGCTTAATCTGCTACAAAAGTTTTCAGCAGGGAGAAGGGTTATTTTTTCTACTTTGAATGAAATCTTACTAAGAAGCTGTTTTCCATGATGTAGATGGTAGCTTTGGTGAGAAGTAGGGAACTGTAACAAGTGATACCTATTGTTTTACAGTAAAGTGTGAGCTAAATCCAACTGGTGAAACTTTGAAATAGGTGTTTCATAGGAAAACCATGATTGCGCAATTATGTTTCAAAATGGCTTCCCTGACTGCCGTATCCAAGTTTTGACATGGTCGAAAAATAGCAACACTTCGTTGACTATCTTTTCTTAACATTACAACCAATTTTTTTAGCTCAACGGCACCAGTGGCACTGAAGAAGTTTAAAATATATTTTTCAAGATGTCGACCATCTTGGACTTCAGACATAAATAACAACAGTTGGTCAGGACCATCTCTAGGTCGTTTCATGCAAGTTTGAGCTAAATCCCACTGTATAGATTTTCCTATATGATTCGTAGAAGTTTACCTGTGTGATAAGTAGAAGTGAGTTTACCTGTATGATAAGTAGAAGTGGGTTTACCTGTATGATAAGTAGAAGTGAGTTTACCTGTATGATAAGGAAGTGAGTTTACCTGTATGATGAGTAGAAGTGAGTTTACCTGTATGATAAGTAGAAGTGGATTTATCTTTATAATAAGTAGAAGTGAGTTTACCTGTATGATAAGTAGAAGTGGATTTATCTTTATGATAAGTAGAAGTGAGTTTACCTGTATGATAAGTAGAAGTGGATTTATCTTTATGATAAGTAGAAGTGAGTTTACCTGTATGATAAGTAGAAGTGGATTTATCTTTATGATAAGTAGAAGTGAGTTTACCTATAGATGTAAAAGTGAGTTTACCTATATGATAAGGAAGTGAGTTTATCTGTGTGATAAGTAGAAGTGAGTTTACCTATAGATGTAAAAATGAGTTTACCTGTATGATAAGGAAGTAAGTTTATCTTTGTGATAAGTAGAAGTGGGTTTACCTATAAATGTAAAAGTGAGTTTACCTGTATGTTAAGGAAGTGAGTTTACCTGTATGATAAGTAGAAGTGAGTTTACCTGTATAAGTAGAAGTGGGTTTACATGTGTGATAAGTAGAAGTGAGTTTACCCGTGGATGTAAAAGTGAGTTTACCTGTATGATAAGTAGAAGTGAGTTTACCTATGGATGTAAAAGTGAGTTTACCTGTATAAGTAGAAGTGGGTTTACCTGTATGATAAGTAGAAGTGGGTTTCCCTATGGATGTAAAAGGGAGTTTACGTGTATGATAAGTAGAAGTGAGTTTACCTGTATAAATAGAAGTGGGTTTACCTGTATGATAAGTAGAAGTGAGTTTACCTATGGATGTTAAAGTGAGTTTACCTGTATGATAAGTGTAAGTGAGTTTACCTGTGGATGTAAAAGTGAGTATACCTGTAGGATAAGAAGAAGTGAGTTTACCTGTATGATAAGTAGAAGTGTGTTAACCTGTATGATAAGTAGAAGTGAGTTTACCTGTATGATAAGTAGAAATGAGTCTACCTGTATGATAAGTAGAAGTGAGTTTACCTGTATGATGAGTAGAAGTGAGTTTACCTGTATGATAAGTAGAAGTGAGTTTACCTGTATGATAAGTAGAAGTGGGTTTACCTATGGATGTAAAAGTGAGTTTACCTGTATGATAAGTAGAAGTGAGTTTTCCTGTATGATAAGTAGAAGTGTGTTAACCTGTATGATAAGTAGAAGTGAGTTTACCTGTATGATAAGTAGAAGTGGGTTTACCTATGGATGTAAAAGTGAGTTTACCTGTATGATAAGTAGAAGTGAGTTTACCTGTATGATAAGTAGAAGTGTGTTAATCTGTATGATAAGTAGAAGTGAGTTTACCTGTATGATAAGTAGAAGTGAGTTTACCTGTATGATAAGTAGAAGTGGGTTTACCTATGGATGTAAAAGTGAGTTTACCTGTATGATAAGTAGAAGTGAGTTTTCCTGTATGATAAGTAGAAGTGTGTTAACCTGTATGATAAGTAGAAGTGAGTTTACCTGTATGATAAGTAGAAGTGGGTTTACCTATGGATGTAAAAGTGAGTTTACCTGTATGATAAGTAGAAGTGAGTTTACCTGTATGATAAGTAGAAGTGTGTTAATCTGTATGATAAGTAGAAGTGAGTTTACCTGTATGATAAGTAGAAGTGGATTTATCTTTATGATAAGTAGAAGTGAGTTTACCTGTATGATAAGTAGAAGTGGATTTATCTTTATGATAAGTAGAAGTGAGTTTACCTGTATGATAAGTAGAAGTGGATTTATCTTTATGATAAGTAGAAGTGAGTTTACCTATAGATGTAAAAGTGAGTTTACCTATATGATAAGGAAGTGAGTTTATCTGTGTGATAAGTAGAAGTGAGTTTACCTATAGATGTAAAAATGAGTTTACCTGTATGATAAGGAAGTAAGTTTATCTTTGTGATAAGTAGAAGTGGGTTTACCTATAAATGTAAAAGTGAGTTTACCTGTATGTTAAGGAAGTGAGTTTACCTGTATGATAAGTAGAAGTGAGTTTACCTGTATAAGAAGAAGTGGGTTTACATGTGTGATAAGTAGAAGTGAGTTTACCCGTGGATGTAAAAGTGAGTTTACCTGTATGATAAGTAGAAGTGAGTTTACCTATGGATGTAAAAGTGAGTTTACCTGTATAAGTAGAAGTGGGTTTACCTGTATGATAAGTAGAAGTGGGTTTCCCTATGGATGTAAAAGGGAGTTTACGTGTATGATAAGTAGAAGTGAGTTTACCTGTATAAATAGAAGTGGGTTTACCTGTATGATAAGTAGAAGTGAGTTTACCTGTATAAGAAGAAGTGGGTTTACATGTGTGATAAGTAGAAGTGAGTTTACCCGTGGATGTAAAAGTGAGTTTACCTGTATGATAAGTAGAAGTGAGTTTACCTATGGATGTAAAAGTGAGTTTACCTGTATAAGTAGAAGTGGGTTTACCTGTATGATAAGTAGAAGTGGGTTTCCCTATGGATGTAAAAGGGAGTTTACGTGTATGATAAGTAGAAGTGAGTTTACCTGTATGATAAGTAGAAGTGGGTTTACCTGTATGATAAGTAGAAGTGAGTTTACCTATGGATGTTAAAGTGAGTTTACCTGTATGATAAGTGTAAGTGAGTTTACCTGTGGATGTAAAAGTGAGTATACCTGTAGGATAAGAAGAAGTGAGTTTACCTGTATGATAAGTAGAAGTGTGTTAACCTGTATGATAAGTAGAAGTGAGTTTACCTGTATGATAAGTAAAAATGAGTCTACCTGTATGATAAGTAGAAGTGAGTTTACCTGTATGATGAGTAGAAGTGAGTTTACCTGTATGATAAGTAGAAGTGAGTTTACCTGTATGATAAGTAGAAGTGGGTTTACCTGTGGATGTAAAAGTGAGTTTACCTGTATGATAAGTAGAAGTGAGTTTTCCTGTATGATAAGTAGAAGTGTGTTAACCTGTATGATAAGTAGAAGTGAGTTTACCTGTATGATAAGTAGAAGTGGGTTTACCTATGGATGTAAAAGTGAGTTTACCTGTATGATAAGTAGAAGTGAGTTTACCTGTATGATAAGTAGAAGTGTGTTAACCTGTATGATAAGTAGAAGTGAGTTTACCTGTATGATAAGTAGAAGTGTGTTAACCTGTATGATAAGTAGAAGTGAGTTTACCTGTATGATAAGTAGAAGTGGGTTTACCTATGGATGTAAAAGTGAGTTTACCTGTATGATAAGTAGAAGTGAGTTTACCTGTATGATAAGTAGAAGTGTGTTAACCTGTATGATAAGTAGAAGTGAGTTTACCTGTATGATAAGTAGAAGTGAGTTTACTTGTATGATAAGTAGAAGTGGGTTTACCTATGGTTGTATAAGTGAGTTTACCGGTATGATAAGTAGAAATGAGCTTACCTGTAGATGTAAAAGCGAGTTTACCTGCATCAGATGTAAAAGTAAGTTTACCTGTATGAAATGTAAAAGCTGGTTTACCTGTATATTTAGAAGTGAGGTTACCTGTATGACCTTTAGAAGCATTAGAAGGTATCACAGAGTACATCTCATTATCATTGAAGATTCCTCCCGGCACTGAAACAGAATGTTCCAAGATTATAGGCCTTGTATATTACCAGTACTGAGTATATTCATTATTCCAGGTTGATCAATTTTACGTCTAACATTTCAGCTGATAAATGAGATCATGTTAACATTAACCATTGTAAAACCATCCGAAACATTTCGTAACTGATAAAAAGATTATACCTGTAAAAGTTTTTTTTTTTTATTTTGTGGTCATGCTATACTGTGAACCCTCACCGTATTATAACAAATATATTAAAATAAAAGATGACTATTGAAAAAAAAAACGATTTTCATCCACACAGCATACATTTAGTACAAGTTTGTCCCTTCTCGACATATCCAGGGATACACCTGCAAGTCCAATCATTAGTCTGGCCAGGCATACAGGCACTGTTGGCAACACTGCAACCCCCACTTCTTCCCTGTTCACCACAATCACTGTAAAGGGACAACCAAGGTCTGTCAGGGGCTTGTGTTGATGGTGTCGGACAAACTGTGCTTGGTACTGTCGTGCGAACTGTAGTTGACGTTGTTGTGGAATCTGTTGTCGTGTTAGCTGAAAAAAAACCAATACATTTCACTACTGAAGAATGAAAGGACACATACTGCACCGGGTGTGCACTCGGAGCACCGTATCGCCACCGCAACCGTTGATTACCTGTTAAATTAATGTGAAAGAAAGTATATTAAGTTATCCTGTTTATATCACAAAGATGGTGTGAAATACTGAATTTCTTAATAAACATATAACACAAAACAACATTGAGGACAACACAACAAAAACATAAACTCCTCTCACACATTCCTCTAGAAACAATGCCTAATACTTTACCTTTCCGCTGCTGAAAACTGAATATTAAAAAGAAGCGTTCGTTTCACATTTCAATGAAATCCACAACTTACCTCATATACCTTAAATAAAAGATACTAGTGCTGTTTTTAAGCTGCGCACGTGTACTTAGACTTAGTCCGGTCGCTCTTGGTGTTCGTCCGCTATCAGGAATTCATCAGGTGTTCGTCCGCTATCAGGAATTCATCAGGTGTTCGTCCGCTATCAGGAATTCATCAGGTGTTCGTCCGCTATCAGGAATTCATCAGGTGTTCGTCCTTCGTCGGGAATTCATCAGGTGTTCGTCATGTGTCAGGATTCATCAGGTGTTCGTCCTTCGTCGGGAATTCATCAGGTGTTCGTCATGTGTCAGGATTCATCAGGTGTTCGTCTTCTGTCGAGAGTGCGTCCCTCCAGTAAGACAAAGTATGAATAATCACCAAACCTTAATGACGGCGGAAAAAAGAAACAAGAGACCAAATATAGCCTTTTAATTTGACATCTGAGCAAATGCTACATAACACTGGCAATAAAGAGAGATAAATGGGAGACCGTCAACACAAACTGAACACAACTTCTCTTTTAACATTTGTAACATTGGCAAATTACTTATTTCAGTTATTAATTTCCCGTTCATGAATATGAAAACAAATTGATTTTAATATCTCGAAATCTTACTTAGAAATAAGGTTTAATTCCAACGGATATTTTTAAAATGCTAGACTATATCAATTGGATTGATTGATCAGACACAAAAGTCAATATTTCCCAATATCTTTCTCTTGCGGTCGATTTACAAGTAGAAAAAAAATCATTCATTAGTAGAGCTATTCCTAATATATGTATAAGATGTAAAGGGATTAGAAAACCTGAAAATGACTGAACAAGTTCATCATTTATTCAGTAAAAGAATTCTTAAAGTGAGATCGTTGTAGACCTTCATTCGAGAACTTAATGAGATATTGCTAAACAAAAATGTTAGGTTTGGGGGATTAATTAGCAAAGAGAACAAACTCAGCGGCATATTGCTTTTCCTAGCTTTATTTTACATGATGACGCTGCTTTTTCATTCAAATGGATCGACTTTTTAAGAAGTATTCTAACGATACTGGATTTTCGATAATGAATTACAATCCATTCAGCAATGATTCGCTGACATTGCTAGCTCTTGTGGACAGTACTATTCTTTGTTCAAAACTACAACAATGTTGCGGATTTAAACTTAGAGTTTTCAATTAAAACATGTAAATGATGGTATATTTATCTTACGATTACAGTCTTCGTTATTATTGTACAAATGTAAACAAGTTTAAAGGTCTGTTATCACTATACAGTCAACAAGTGTAATTGATGTATATGTTTATCCGTCTAAACTTATATAATATTGAGAATCTATATATATGTGTGTGTGCGTGCGTGCGTGTGTGTGTGTGTGTGTGTGTGTGTGTAAGTGAGAGAGAGAGAGAGAGAGAGAGAGAGAGAGAGAGAGAGAGAGAGAGAGAGAGAGAGAGAGAGAGAGAGAGAGAGAGAGAGAGAGAGAGAGTTTGCGTGTGATGTTTGTATGTGTTTGCCAGTGTTTGTTAGTACGTGACAGTATCTATAAAATATTAAATTGTTAATGATATCTTACCGGTAGAAATATCTGTCAAATATATATGTCTAATGCATTTATACTTGTATTTGCCTATTACCTCATTTAACATCTTATATGAGTCTTTGTGTAAATAAAAATCTTGAATACTGACATTTTATAACCAATATCAGTACCTATATTCAATTGGTACACTGTCTTATTTGGGCGACTGTATTCCTCTTTTGTCTCGATTCGCGTGGCTGTATAAAGTTCATGTACCTGAAGCCAGCACATTGTAGCCTGCTCCTTGTACCCCCTACCCCGCATCCTTAACTATGTAACCTGTCCCCCCTAACCCGCATCCTTAACTATGTAACCTGTACCACCTACCCCGCATACTTAACTCTGTAACCTGTCCCCCTACCCCGCATCCATAACTCTGTAACATGTACCCCCTACCCCGCATCCTTAACTCTGTAACATGTACCCCCTACCCCGCATCCTTAACTCTGTAACCTGTACCCCTTACCCCGCATCCTTAACTCTGTAACCTGTCCCCCGCCCTACCCCGCATCCTTAAATCTGTAACCTGTTCCCCCATACCCCGCATCCTTAACTCTGTAACCTGTCCCTCCTACCCCGCATCTTTAACCCTAAAACGTGTCCCCGACTACCCCGCATCCTTAACTCTGTAACCTGTCCCCCCTACACCTCATCCTTAATTCTGTAACCTGTCCCCCTACCCCGCATCTTTAACTCTGTAACCTGTCCCCCTACCCCACATTCTTAACTCTGTAACATGTTCCCCCTACCCTACCCCGCATCCTTAACTCTGTAACCTGTATCCCCTACCCCGCATCTTTAACCCTGTTACCTGTACCCCCTACCCCGCACCTTAACTATGTAACCTGTCCCCCCTAACCCGCATCCTTAACTATGTAACCTGTACCACCTACCCCGCATCCTTAACTCTGTAACCTGTCCCCCTACCCCGCATCCTTAACTCTGTAACATGTACCCCCTACCCCGCATCCTTAACTCTGTAACCTGTACCCCCTACCCCGCATCCTTAACTCTGTAACCTGTCCCTCCTACCCCGTATCTTTAACCCTAAAACCTGTCCCCCCTACCCCGCATCCTTAACTCTGTAACCTGTTCCCCCTACACCTCATCCTTAATTCTGTAACCTGTCCCCCTACCCCGCATCTTTAACTCTGTAACCTGTTCCCCTACCCCGCATCTTTAACCCTGTAACCTGTACCCCCTACCCCGCATCCTTAACTCTGTAACCTGTCCCCCCTACCCCGCATCCTTAACTCTGTAACCTGTCCCCCTACCCCGCATCTTTAACTCTGTAACCTGTTCCCCTACCCCGCATCTTTAACCCTGTAACCTGTACCCCCTACCCCGCATCCTTAACTCTGTAACCTGTCCCCCCTACCCCGCATCCTTAACTCTGTAACCTGTACCCCCTACCCCCCATCCTTAACTCTGTAACCTGTACCCCCTACCCCGCATCCTATATCTGTAACCTGTACCCCCTACCCCGCATCTTTAACCCTATAACCTGTACCCCCTACCCCGCATCCTTAACTCTGTAACCTGTACCCCCTACCCCGCATTCTTAACTCTGTAACATGTTCCCCCTACCCTACCCCGCATCCTTAACTCTGTAACCTGTATCCCCTACCCCGCATCTTTAACCCTGTAACCTGTACCCCCTACCCCGCATCCTTAACTCTGTAACCTGTACCCCCTACCCCGCATCCTTAAATCTGTAACCTGTACCCCCTACCCCGTATCCTTAACTCTGTAACCTGTACCCCCTACCCCGCATCCTTAACTCTGTAACCTGTACCCCCTACCCCCCATCCGTAACTCTGTAACCTGTCCCCCAACCCCGCATCTTTAACCCTGTAACCTGTACCCCCCTACCCCGCATCCTTAACTCTGTAACCTGATCCCCCTACACCTCATCCTTAATTCTGTAACCTGTCCCCCTACCCCGCATCTTTAACTCTGTAACCTGTACCCCCTACCCCGTATCCTTAACTCTGTAACCTGTACCCCCTACCCCGCATCCTTAACTCTGTAACCTGTACCCCCTACCCCCCATCCGTAACTCTGTAACCTGTCCCCCAACCCCGCATCTTTAACCCTGTAACCTGTACCCTCTACCCCGCATCCTTAATCCTGTACCTCCTGTCCCCTATTCCCCTATCTTCTACATTCTACCTTGTACCCCTTAGATAGTCCAATGTACAAGGTAGATGGTAGAGGTTAGAGGGCAGAGAGCACAGAGTATAAGGTAGAGGCTACAGGGTATAAGCCAAATGTTACAGGGAAAAGAATAAGGGCCACATGGAAGATGGATGAGTGTATTGGTTAGGGGTAAAGGGTATAGGGAAGAGGGCACGGGGTACAGGTAAAGGTTATAGGGAAGAGGGTAAGGGGTACAGGTAGAGGGTATCGGAGAGAGAGCACGGGGTACAGGTAGAGGGTATCGGGAAGAGGCTAAGGGTACAGGTAGAGGGTATCGGGAAGAGGGCACGGAGTACAGGTAGAGGGTATAGGGAAGAGGGCACGGGGTACAGGTAGAGGGTATAGAGAAGAGGGCACGGGGTACAGGTAGAGGGTATAGAGAAGAGGGTAAAGGTAAAGGTAGAAGGTATCGGGAAGAGGGCACGGAGTACAGGTAGAGGGTATCGGGAAGAGGGCACGGGGTACAGGTAGAAGGTATAGGGAAGAGGGCACGGAGTACCGGTAGAGGGTATAGGGAAGAGATTAAGGGTACAGGCAGAAGGTATATGGAAGAGGGCACGGGGTACAGGTAGAGAGAATCGGGAAAAGGGTAAGGGTACAGGTAGAAGGTATAGGGAATAGGGCACGGAGTACAGGTAGAGGGTATAGAGAAGAGGGTAAGGGTACAGGGTAGAGAATAAGGGGTAGAATGTACAAGGTCCAGGGTAGAGAATAAGGTGTAGAATGCAC